GGTCCTGAAGGTAATGCAGGATTATAGCATTAACAGTAGTGCCAAGCCCCGGGTCAAAGTGTCCAAGGAGAACTTGGGACCCAAGGCAGAGTTACCCTTGCAGACATGATCTTCCGCAATTTTATGTGTAGTAAGTGTATTTATCAGATTTATCAGTCTCCTTGAGAAAGCAGCGCTTTTTTTTTGGGGGGGGGGGGGGTCCTCTTTGAGCCCGAATCCTTGGAGGCTCACCGCAAGCGGAAAAGAGTATGCCTGCAACACCAAGTCCTAAGTCAAAAGTCTTCGCACTCTTATACGGGGTAGCTATGATATCCATCCTGCCAAAAGTACCGAAACGCCCGGAGTTGTACTTGGATGTACTTGGAATCAAATCTCTTCCTGACGGCGTTAAGCTGGTCTAAGTCCTGGGCACCACTGGTGAAACCCTAAAAGAAAAAGCCACACACATGGCCCCATCGCTTCAGATCAACTTCACAGCTGCAGGTCGGCGGTAAGCTCGCCACCGCCTTGCTCAAGAAGCTGGATCCTGTTCCTGGGCCGCCCAGGTAAACGAAGGTTTAGGCCTTGGGGTGCCTCTTGGCTTGGTACGTACTTGGACTTAACCTAAACGGCGCCTTACAGTGTCGTGACACATATGTTGCGGGGCCCTTTGGCATGCGAGAGCTGAGGGGGCTTAGGAAGGGCAATACGCCCTACAACCACCCTCCAGGTTTCGAAAGCCCCTGAGTGCCAAAACAGCCCAGGACATAGAAGCAACACGAGAGTGAAAACACTACAAGCATCCTCAGTTGTAAGCCGGCGACAGCACCCCCTGCAGCCGAGAAAACCGCCGTGACTTTTGTTGCCCCAGGATGTTAATGTACCCCCAGCATTCCCTTATTTGACAAAGCCCGCTTGATGGATGTAGTCTCGGAGTGCCCTGCCAAAGACCCGCTGCAAAAAAAAGACAGAGCCCTTGAACTTTAGCACGTATAGCCCCAAACTAACTAAGCCTTTGATACCCTAAGCAGAAGCTTGAGAAGCAACTAAAACCAGTCCCCCAGGTGAATGGCGACTCGGTCGCGGCCGGTGGACCTTCTGTGAACACCGGCAGCACTGCGCAGGGGGCCCCAGGAGCTTGTGTGTATAGCATGTACACAAAATCAACCAATATATCAATATGTATATATATATACACATGATATGTGTATGTGTATATATATATATGATATGTATAGAATATGTATATCATATATATATATACATGGCATTGTGATTACTGCGACTGTTATTGCTATCTCGGCATGTCGGGAGGAATTAGGGATCAGTGAAACTGGGGGGTTCAAATTTACGGATTCAGGCTTCAAGGGTTTAGGGGTTTAGGGTTTAGGATGGTTAGCGTTTCAGGCTCTAAGGTTTCGGATTTCTGGAGACTTAGTAGCTTAGTAAGTACGATGCTTAAGGTTTGAGAAATCGGGATGCCGGGTCGGGTCAGGATATGCCCTGTTCAGGAGTTTAGTAGGGTTCGCATTTAAGGCGCTGCTCGGGACTTTCGGCATACAAAGCTTCGTTTGGGTGTCACTCTGCATCGCCACTACTAGAGCAACGAGGTTGCTATGTCTCTGTGTTTGGCTCATTCCCGCTTCAAGGAAAGCCTGCATTCAACTTGGCATGTGCTCACAAGGCGTGGATCGTTGTATGTAGCCTGCGCAGACACCAGAGTTTCAGGAAACACGGGACCCAATAATTCAAGACCCTGAATAGTTGGATCACTCATACAAAGACCTGCAATTGTCAGAAACAAGCCCAAAAGCACCGGAGAGATTGCATGGTGCAGGCACGACCCGGGCTCTACCGGTGGTGTCATGCCACCTCGCCACGTCACTTGATGATGGGTTTTTGTTGGAGGTCAACCGGGAATTCACGCTAGAGCTGCTCTAGCTACTTGGGCTTTGATCCTCGCGCATCCTGTTGTAAAACTTCAGAAGCCACGAACCCCAGCCCTAGCCCCCCAAACGCAATCTGCCAGCCCCACAGGACCTTTGAACGTCTCTTGCAAACATCCGAGAATCCTGGTGGCCTCCCTAAGCTCTCGTTACCCAAGTGAACCTTTGCAAGCCATACTTAAAGTTTCATGGGTAGGTTCAACCAAATAAGTTGTCGGTACCTTACCTGATGTAGGCAACTAGTTCCTCCCTTCTGACCCAATAAATAAAGAAACGACCCATTAAGCTCTAAACTCTTCTAAGATTCTGAGCCCATGCAGAAACCTTGTAGAGCCTTTGGGAACCCAAAGCATCACCTATGTTCCAGAAACTCGAGTCGCTCGCGATTTGCAGTTTTGCTTGAAGCCCTTCTTTCGGGGATGCATCCTCTTCACACCATGGGACCCCTGTGGCGTGCTGGGAATCATGTTGCTGCCTCTGTCCGCTCCGCAGCAGCCGAAGCTAGTTACAACTGCTTGGCTTGTTTGTCAGTAGACAGCCCACACACATCCACTGGACAAGACGGCATTGCATGTAGCTTTTATGCATACGACGGCACGAGATCACCACGTGGCCGCGTGGCCCCTGCCATGTCCTCGGACAGTGACACGGAGTTGATGCCTACATTGGCGGATGCCTATCGCCTCGCCTTGGAAACTCAACGCAACATTGAAGTTTTTCCATATACTTTTAATATAGTCTACGGTAAAATTCAACACTTCTTTTTGTTTGGAAGAGCTGTTCGGTTTTGGGTTGGGAAATATGTGTCGCAAGTACGGAAAAGCCAGACCAGGAAATGCATGTTCAACTGGTCGGTCTTAACACCGTTCGCTGAACATACTTCGTGAAGCTAAAGACAATAGGCAACATTATGCCAAACTGACTCCTCCTCTTCACCTGTGCCAGATACCAGGATCACCTTCAAATGCAGGGTCTTGAAGACCCTCCACCGGTTGAAACTCCCTCGGCACAATTGCTGGTGCTCCTGGATTTGAACGGAGTTCTGGTCCGACGCCCTCCACTGGCAAAACAACTTCAGCGTCCAGACCGGCAGGTCGTCGAGATCAAAATCCCACCGGGCGATATTGGTATCAGTTTCTGGGCCTACACCCGTCCGGATGAGGTGCGCAGGCTTGTCGATTTTCTGACCGAGCAACCCATACATTGGGGGATTTACTCCACGATGACTCGCTGGAATGCATTGAATGTTCTGCGCCGGGTGTTTCAAGAAGCTGACCGTCCAATCAGGGAAGAATCATCGAGGAGCTACGCTCTACCCAGGCAAAGTCTGGAGTATGGACATCGTGGCAACAAGTGGTTTTGGTTCTTTACGCAGGAGGACCACCACGAATATGATCCGAACAGCCCACCCTTTCCTGGACATGAAGGGCTCTCAGCATACACACCCGGGGTGAATTCGGGTCACGGCCAGTCGCTGCTGACTGCAGGGGTCATAAGCGATGTCCAGGAATATCTAGACGCTCGAAGGTTTGAGTCTAGAGTCAGAGTGTGCCCCATTCTCGTAGCTGCTGCACCGAAGAAAACCAAATTGATTCGGGGCCTCAACCTTCTGATCGAAGACTACGATGACCAGGCGGTCGAAACCGGCAAGAAGACTGGGCTAAAGAGGGTCGAGACTGCTGTGCGCACGGCCCTCAGGGACCTGAACGCCGTTGGGAGTCTGCTGGTTGAGGCAAACACAGCTTTCCTCTTCAGAAAGGGGCTGCGTGGGCTCACTGTTCCAGAGCACATAAAGGACAAGATTTTAGACTTCCTGGATCCCCTTCCAAGTGCAGGAGACGATTGATGGCAAGAGTCCGCACTTCTTGGATGCCTTCCGAAGTCCAAATCTTGCCAGCCGCATGTGATATTTCACCACCATCTTCTCACATCAGAAAAGTCACGGGCAGGGCTGCACAAACGAAGTTTCATCTAGACTATAGACCCCGTAAAGCTCTCAGACCCAAACCAGTATAGGTTGTGTTCCTTGCCACTTACCAGAGCGAAGGCTTTGCTGCCATAGGCTTCCAGCGAATCGCATGAGGAGGATTTGTTCATGGCTGGTAAATGGGAACAGCGACTGTTACATAAAATGAGTCCACTAAGCGGTGTTGAAAGTACTGCTCCGATTCCTCTCGGTGTCGGAGCACTGCCGGCCCTGTGAAATCTGTTTCGGTGCAGGGGAGAGGAGGGGGGCCGTATCAGATGGTGCTGCGCTTGATATGGGGTGCGCAGAAGACTCGAAATCGAAATCGGGGGTGGTCCAAGGTGGTGTTGAATAGTCAGTAAGCCGTTTGCAGAGACTTCAGTAATACGGAAGCCCGAATAATTACCCACGTTGTGCTTTGGGGCTCCTTTTAGTAACTATGCCATCATACAAAGCGAAAGCCCCTTCTGAGTAAGATGGGCCTTCAATTACCCAAAGAATCTGGAAAAGTCCCTGCCAGGATGACTCCTGAGGAGGCGCTGTTGCTTTTAGCAACTGGTTTCTTGAATGGTCGATCCTCATCACATAGAATTCTAAATACTTAACAATACTATCCACTTATAGTCCCGCCGCCCGCCTAGAACTATAGCCCCTACTTTATCTTGAGTTCAAGCTTCCGGATTTTGCAGGTGAGCATGCAACCTTCGGAATGCTATCTCAGATTGTAGAGTTGCTGTGGCGGTTGGGCAGCCTTCAGCGAAGTAACCGGATATTCCCAACCATCCACCTCCGACTGTAAGGCTGTGACTCATGGTTTGCGTTTGCACAGCGCATACGGCCCACTATATTCACCAAAAAGCATAGTGAGGTACATGTGTTGAGTAGCAGGGGCAAAAGGCCAAACACATAGGCTAATGATACATGGGACATGTATACGCTTATACGTAGGTGTGTGTGTGTGTGTACACATATATATATA